AGTCCTATCTATGACAATTACTGGACAGGCAGAGTTTTGAAACATTCCAGTTAAGTCCTATCTATGACAATTACTGGACAGGCAGAGTTTTGAAACATTCCAGTTAAGTCCTATCTATGACAATTACTGGACAGGCAGAGTTTTGAAACATTCCAGTTAAGTCCTATCTATGACAATTACTGGACAGGCAGAGTTTTGAAACATTCCAGTTAAGTCCTATCTAAGACAATTACTGGACAGGCAGAGTTTTGAAACATTCCAGTTAAGTCCTATCTATGACAATTACTGGACAGGCAGAGTTTTGAAACATTCCAGTTAAGTCCTATCTATGACAATTACTGGACAGGCAGAGTTTTGAGACATTCCCTAAGACAATTACTGGACAGGCAGAGTTTTGAAACATTCCAGTTATCTATGACAATTACTGGACAGGCAGAGTTTTGAGACATTCCAGTTAAGTCCTATCTATGACAATTACTGGACAGGCAGAGTTTTGAAACATTCCAGTTAAGTCCTAAGACAATTACTGGACAGGCAGAGTTTTGAAACATTCCAGTTAAGTCCTAAGACAATTACTGGACAGGCAGAGTTTTGAAACATTCCAGTTAAATGACAATTACTGGACTGGCAGAGTTTTGAAACATTCCAGTTAAGTCCTATCTATGACAATTACTGGACAGGCAGAGTTTTGAAACATTCCAGTTAAGTCCTATCTAAGACAATTACTGGACAGGCAGAGTTTTGAAACATTCCAGTTAAGTCCTATCTATGACAATTACTGGACAGGCAGAGTTTTGAAACATTCCAGTTAAGTCCTATCTATGACAATTACTGGACAGGCAGAGTTTTGAAACATTCCAGTTAAGTCCTATCTATGACAATTACTGGACAGGTTTTTGAAACATTCCAGTTAAGTCCTATGACAATTACTGGACAGGCAGAGTTTTGAAACATTCCAGTTAAGTCCTATCTATGACAATTACTGGACGGGCAGAGTTTTGAGACATTCCAGTTAAGTCCTATCTAAGACAATTACTGGACGGGCAGAGTTTTGAGACATTCCAGTTAAGTCCTATCTAAGACAATTACTGGACAGGCAGAGTTTTGAAACATTCCAGTTAAGTCCTAAGACAATTACTGGACAGGCAGAGTTTTGAAACATTCCAGTTAAGTCCTATCTATGACAATTACTGGACAGGCAGAGTTTTGAAACATTCCATGACAATTACTGGACATTCCAGTTAAGTCCTATCTATGACAATTACTGGACAGGCAGAGTTTTGAAACATTCCAGTTAAGTCTATCTATGACAACTGGACAGGCAGAGTTTTGAAACATTCCAGTTAAGACAGGACAGAGTTTTGAAACATTCCAGTTAAGTCCTATCTATGACAATTACTGGACAGGCAGAAAACATTCCAGTTAAGTCCTATCTATGACAATTACTGGACAGGCAGAGTTTTGAAACATTCCAGTTAAGTCCTATCTAGACAATTACTGGACACAGCTTGAAACATTCCAGTTAAGAGACATTACTGGACAGGCAGAGTTTTGAAACATTCCAGTTAAGTTCTGACAGGCAGAGTTTTGAAACATCTAAGACAATTACTGAGAGTTTTGAAACATTCCAGTTAAGTCCTATCTATGACAATTATGGACAGAAACATTCTATACTGACAATTACTCTACTGTGATAGTTCTAAAAAATTTTATCTGTGATGGACACATCTGTGAATAATTATGGACAGTTCTAAAAAATATCTCCTGTTCAAACAAGCAGTAAAACACTGTGACCATACAATAAATACTTTGTTTAAAAGTATGTTTAAATGAAATAAAAAAAATTACTCTCCTATAAACAGCTCTGTAAACAGATGTTCTGGAACATATCACATGTGTTTTGAACAGCATGTTAATATGACAATATTCTAAGCTATAAATAAACAATTAATTCCAACTATTAAGAGAAGTATGACAAATACAGTATGTTATGGTTTGGGGTCAATATCTTTTTTATCACAAGGTCCAACATTTAGATTAAATGTCACCTCTCCATTCACCATATGTTCTACTGTGATAAACACATTCTACTGTACTCCAGTTCTACACTGAATATTATATACATGTTTATTTACCTTGTGATGGACAAAATAATCTGTAATCATGATCATTGTAGGTCATGCAGGTGGTGTTAACACACATTATTTATACTGTGATGGACAGTTCAATACTGTACACTGATCTACTGTGATGGACAAACTGAGTATTTTCTACTGTGATGGACAGTTCTATACTGAATATTTTATACTGTGATGGACAGTTCTATACTGAATTCTACTGTGATGGACAGTTCTACACTGAATATTTTCTACTGTGATGGACAGTTCTACACTGAATTCTACTGTGATGGACAGTTCTATACTGAATTCTACTGTGATGGACAGTTCTACACTGAATATTTTCTACTGTGATGGACAGTTCTATACTGAATATTTTCTACTGTGATGGACAGTTCTACACTGAATTCTACTGTGATGGACAGTTCTACACTGAATATTTTCTACTGTGATGGACAGTTCTACACTGAATATTTTCTACTGTGATGGACAGTTCTACACTGAATTCTACTGTGATGGACAGTTCTACACTGAATTCTACTGTGATGGACAGTTCTACACTGAATATTTTCTACTGTGATGGACAGTTCTGTACTGAATATTTTCTACTGTGATGGATAGTTCTAAACTGAATATTTTCTACTGTGATGGACAGTTCTACACTGAATATTTTCTACTGTGATGGACAGTTCTGTACTGAATATTTTCTACTGTGATGGATAGTTCTGTACTGAATATTTTCTACTGTGATGGACAGTTCTACACTGAATATTTTCTACTGTGATGGACAGTTCTACACTGAATATTTTCTACTGTGATGGACAGTTCTACACTGAATTCTACTGTGATGGACAGTTCTACACTGTATTCTACTGTGATGGATAGTTCTACACTGAATTCTACTGTGATGGACATTTCTACACTGAATTCTACTGTGACGGACAGTTCTACACTGAATTCTACTGTGATGGACAGTTCTACACTGAATATTTTCTACTGTGACGGACAGTTCTATACTGAATTCTACTGTGATGGACAGTTCCATACTGAATATTTTCTACTGTGACGGACAGTTCTACACTGAATATTTTCTACTGTGATGGACAGTTCCATACTGAATATTTTCTACTGTGACGGACAGTTCCATACTGAATATTTTCTACTGTGATGGACAGTTCTACACTGAATTCTACTGTGATGGACAGTTCTACACTGAATTCTACTGTGATGGACAGTTCTATACTAAATATTTTCTACTGTGATGGACAGTTCCATACTGAATATTTTCTACTGTGATGGACAGTTCTACACTGAATATTTTATACTGTGATGGACAGTTCTACACTGAATTCTACTGTGATGGACAGTTCTACACTGAATTCTACTGTGATGGACAGTTCTACACTGAATTCTACTGTGATGGACAGTTCTACACTGAATTCTACTGTGATGGACAGTTCTACACTGAATATTTTCTACTGTGATGGACAGTTCTGTACTGAATATTTTCTACTGTGATGGACAGTTCTACACTGAATTCTACTGTGATGGACAGTTCTACACTGAATTCTACTGTGATGGACAGTTCTACACTGAATATTTTCTACTGTGATGGACAGTTCTGTACTGAATATTTTCTACTGTGATGGACAGTTCTACACTGAATTCTACTGTGATGGACAGTTCTACACTGAATTCTACTGTGATGGACAGTTCTACACTGAATTCTACTGTGATGGACAGTTCTACACTGAATATTTTCTACTGTGATGGACAGTTCTGTACTGAATATTTTCTACTGTGATGGACAGTTCTACACTGAATTCTACTGTGATGGACAGTTCTACACTGAATTCTACTGTGATGGACAGTTCTACACTGAATATTTTCTTTTTTGATTAAAATATGGTCAGATGTTATTTTACATAGACTAAAAGTATTCAACAAAAAATGTTTGACTGCAGAGTGACTTTGAGTTTACTGTGTTTTACAATGAATAAACTCTACTTTATTTCTACAATGAAATAGTTCTACTGTATTATGAACACTTTTGCACGAACTGTTTTGGTAATGTCTCTGACATTTAACAGCTATAGAACTGTACTAAATGTATTTTGAAAGGAATAATTCATAGTTAATTTATAAGCCACACGTTTCCAAGCTTATTGTTTCAGCCATACAACAACGGTATCCACTGATTAAACACTTCTTGTTCTTCAGCAGCTTTGATATTACACACATCTTATCTTCACCTTTCCATCAACAGTCATTGAAAATCCCAGGATTCAAATGTGTACTCAAAACTGAAAAATGACATTTTAATTTCCCCCCAGAAATTAACTTAAAGAAGAATTTTTAATGGAAAGGGAAAGATTACAGGTGTTTCTTCAGGGGAGCACAGGTAGAGCATTTCAATATTAGGGGCAGAGTGTAAAATATCAGGATGTTATGATACTGGTATATGTGTATATTAACAAAAGAATTCATAAACAGAACAATCAATAAAATTTTCTTTTTGAAAGTTAACAAAATCAATAAGTTGATAATATTTGTAACCATTAGAAACAAAAAGGCTTTGTTGAAAAAAATAGGAAATTTTTGTATTTTGTTTTTGTATATATATATATATATTTTCTGTCACCAGATAAAAGCTTCCATTTTGAAACACATCTTTTATGACTGGTGTTTACAGAACATTTCAATCACCTGAACTGTTGGTTACAAATATTTAACAGAACACATCAAAATGTAACAAAGTTACAGCACACATTGCGAAATGTGCTCCTCCAATGCTGGCAAATCTACCGAGTCTATTAAATCACACACTGAGATTTCAAGGCAAGTCTACTTAGTCTAAGTCACACACAGTGTATATGTACTTACATCTCTTTCCTACAACATAAAACATAAAATATCACATATAAACACTGTATACAAAACAACACTTTTCACATGAAATGCTTTCACTTCAAAATTTGAATTCTGAAACTCAGAATATTGCCCCCTGAAGCTAATATCTTGATAATTACAAACAGTATTTATTTTTTCCTGTTGAAGTTTATTTTGAAACTTTACCTGCAATTGAAATTCTACATATGATAAATGATGGTATTTTAATTGGCTACAATTATTTATAGTCCTACAAGTATGTTGTACAAGTAACAAAGACTCTCTATTACCAGGGGGTAAGTCCTCAAAACAGGCATTCCAGTATCAGTACTATTACAGTTAACATCAACCCAAACCATCAATTTTTATTTATTTCTCTGGTTTTGTATCTGTTATGCCTTTTGGTTTTTTGACGGAGAAATAAGAATAGTTTACATGGCGTTAGCTGGTTATCATGTGATCATGTTATATGTAGAACCTTATAGACAGAAAACACCCCCAGTGGACCTCGATCTGCATGTACAAATTTGGAAAGTAAAGAACCATAGAACTCCTTAGAGTACCTTTAGAAATCATGAAAAGATTATGTTGATTATCATATGGAGAGATCTTCTTCAAACTTCTGTATGTATATAGATAATCTGGAAATGGTTTAGGATTTCAGGGACATATAATTGTACAGAGTAAATGGATTTCTATATATAGTAAAGATTCTGTCTCACCTAAGAATTACATTGTTATGCTATAAATTGATTGTGTCCTTCAAAACAATCAAAATAATCAGGACGTTTCTTATTTTGTATTTTGTTTGAACTGATCTTCACTGTTGCAATGGAGAAGCTGGATACACAACTAGAGGTAGGATTGAAAATCAACTTTTCCATGTTTTAGAAGGGAAACTTCATTGTGTATGATGTAATACAATTGAGAGCTTAATATGTTAGAAATAACACATTCATCTAAAGTCAATAGATATGCACCTTTTCTGTACAAGCTGAGGCTGATAAAAGTGTTAACTCAATATTTAAAGCTTTCATCCGTTTTTATCACGATTAAACTGTGTGTTAAGAAATGATAGGGCCTGCAGCAGCTCTATAATCAAAATGAACAAGCACCTTTGTGAGTCAGAGCAATTTCATATGAATTCAAGCATTCATGTGAGTTGGAAAAATGTGATCACATGTATGTTTGTGAGTCTGATTATACAATGTATTATCAAGCATCTGTGTCATTTTGCACAATAATGACACGAGTGTATAATGTATTAGTTAAATTAATTAGCATTCCTTATCTAGTTACGGTTAGTGTCTGTAAGTCAACATTAACACAAATAATTACCATTCATGTTGCGTCTTCCCACTTCTGTAAAAGAATGTTTTTTAATGAAATTAAAATTGATGTCCTGTATTTAAATAAGGCTATGATTTTCTAATATTGTTATAAAGATGCTTTGCCATCTGGACATCGACATCATTAAACAACAAGAGGCCTGTAGGCCTTTACAATCATCAGAGTTAATTTTTTGTTTTCAATATATGACAATCACAAACTTAACAAAAACTGCCTTGTCCTATATCTAGTATACATATTAAAGCCTGAAAAGTATTTTTTGTAGCAAGTATTGATTTAAAGGACATTTCAAAATCTGAATAAAACACTGTAGTTTTCAAAACACTGAACCTGCTTGGCAACAAAATTCCAACCTTTTTTGTAATTCCAACTGAAAATGAATACAAATACTTAAATATTTGACCCCTGTGACCGTGAAAAATAGTCAAGGTCATTCACTTAAACAAACCTGATAGCCCTTCATCCCCGTATGCTACAGTCCCAATACAGACCTCTGGGTTTACGGTTATTGAGAAGAAGTTGTTAACACATTTGATCCCTATGACCTTTAAAGTTAGTCAAGGTCAATTTGAACACACTTCGTAGCACTTCATCCCAGCATGCTACAGGCCCAACATAAGAAATCTGGGTCTTTCGGTTTTTGAGAAGAAGTAAAAAATGTAATTTGTTTACAGTGCATGATGACGGACAAAAAGTGATTGCAATGGGTCACTTCAGACTTTGTCTCAAATGACCTAAAAACTGTATTTAAGCTGTCTTTTAATTCAATATTACCAGCTGTAATACCTGACATAATCTTTCTACTAGACATGCAGTACATTTAACATCATGATATATACCTGTATGTACAGAAATAAATACTATATTTAGTATCACTGTATTAAGCCATACACTGGATTCATTATTGTGAGTAAATCCAATGACGTGGGTATTTGTGGTTCATTATAACCCCTTAATTATCCTTGACAGAGATGACAGTGTCATCCATTAATTGGTGTACCAATTCAGTCTATAATGATACACACAATAACATGTCAGGAGATAAAGTTGTAATTCTCGGTAAAAACTATGGTAGACTAGAATATTAAACCTTTGACAGCTTGTCATCACAATCTCTAACTTTCTTTTATATTCTAAAGAATTCAGAAGTTCTGACCTGTTTAATTTAGCAATTTCTTGTCAAGACGTTAATGTTTAATAGACAAATTTGAAAAAGGTTCAGCTACCTATACATAAAATTTCACAAATATTGTCCATACACTGTTTTGTTACTATATAAATTGTAAGTAAATAGTTTTGTTACTATTTAAATTGTCAGTTAATTGATCTGTTACTTAAAAACATTCAGTACACAGATATGTGACTATATAAATTGTCAGTACACAGATATGTGACTATATATACATTGTCACTACACAGATATGTGACTATATAAATTGTCAGTACACAGATATGTGTCTATATATAAATTGTCAGTACACCGATATGTGACTATATATAAATTGTCACTACACAGATATGTGACTATATAAATTGTCAGTACAGATATGTGGCTATATATGAATTGTCACTACACAGATATGTGACGATATATAAATTGTCAGGTCACAGATATGTGACTATATATAAATTGTCAGTACACAGATATGTGACGATATATAAATTGTCAGTACAGATATGTGACTATATATAAATTGTCAGTACACAGATATGTGGCTATATATAAATTGTCAGTACACAGATATGTGACTATATATAAATTGTCAGGACACAGATATGTGTGACCATATAAATTGTCAGTACACAGATATGTGACTATATAAATTGTCACTACACAGATATGTGACTATATAAATTGTCAGTACAGATATGTGGCTATATATGAATTGTCACTACACAGATATGTGACGATATATAAATTGTCAGTACACAGATATGGGACTATATATAAATTGTCAGTACACAGATATGTGACTCTATAAATTGTCAGTACAGATATGTGGCTATATATAAATTGTCACTACACAGATATGTGACAATATATAAATTGTCACTACACAGATATGTGGCTATATATAAATTGTCAGTACACAGATATGTTACTATATATAAATTGTCAGTACACAGATAAGTGACTATATATTAATTGTCAGTACACAGATATGTGACTATATAGAAATTGTCAGTACACAGATAAGTGACTATATATTAATTGTCAGTACACAGATATGTGACTATATATAAATTGTCACTACACAGATATGTGACTATATATGAATTGTCACTACACAGATATGTGACTATATATAAATTGTCAGGTCACAGATATGTGACAATATATAAATTGTCACTACACAGATATGTGGCTATATATAAATTGTCAGGACACAGATATGTGACTATATATAAATTGTCACTACACAGATATGTGGCTATATATAAATTGTCAGGACACAGATATGTGACTCTATAAATTGTCAGTACAGATATGTGACTATATATAACTTGTCACTACACAGATATGTGACTATATATTAATTGTCACTACACAGATATGTGAATATATATAAATTGTCAGGTCACAGATATGTGACTATATATAAATTGTCAGGTCACAGATATGTGACTATATATAAATTGTCACTACACAGATATGTGGCTATATATAAATTTTCAGTACACAGATATGTGACTATATAAATTGCCAGGGCACAGATATGTGACTATATATAAATTGTCACTACACAGATATGTGGCTATATATAAATTGTCAGGTCACAGATATGTGACTATATATAAATTGTCAGGTCACAGATATGTGACTATATATAAATTGTCAGTACACAGATATGTGTGACCATATAAATTGTCAGTACACAGATATGTGACTATATAAATTGTCAGTACAGATATGTGACTATAAATAAATTGTCAGGGCACAGATATGTGACTATATATAAATTGTCTCTACACAGATATGTGGCTATATATAAATTGTCAGGACACAGATATGTGACAATATATAAATTGTCAGGACACAAATATGTGACGATATATAAATTGTCAGGACACAGATATGTGGCTCTTTGAGCCAGGTAAGGTAATAATAGGAAGGACCGATGTCTGATTATCAGTTTTCTGGACTGGGTTCTTAAGTTTGGCTATCAACATTACAGTTAGAATTTGAGTGAGGCTATATATCAAATATAGTACAATCTACATATTTTGCACTAAGTTACTGGTATATGCCAAAAACTATTGTTATAGTAGATTGTAGGTTGAAGACAATTTTTTTATTCTTCAGTTTGTTCCATAAGAACCAGTAGAGTTGTAAGAGGAAGTAAATGTGTGACACAGTTGTTAATAATCACAAACAGAAAGCAAGACGGCTGGTAAGACTGGTGGTCATTAAGACAGATGGTTAGTAAGATAGATGGTAAGGCAGGTATTATTAAGACAGGTAGTTAGTAACTAGTAAGAAAGCTGAAAAGACAGGTAATTATTAAGACAGTTAGTTAGTAACTAGTAAGAAAGCTGATAAGACAGGTAATCATTAAGACAGGTAGTTAGTAACTAGTAAGACAGCTGATAAGACAGGTAATTATTAAGACAGGTAGTTAGTAACTAGTAAGACAGCTGATAAGACAGGTAATTATTAAGACAGGTAGTTAGTAACTAGTAAGATAGCTGATAAGACAGGTAATTATTAAGACATGTAGTTAGTAACTAGTAAGATAGCTGATAAGACAGGTAATTATTAAGACAGGTAGTTAGTAACTAGTAAGACAGCTGATAAGACAGGTAATTATTAAGACAGGTAGTTAGTAACTAGTAAGACAGCTGATAAGACTGATAGTTATTAAGACAGGTAGTTAGTAACTAGTAAGATAGCTGATAAGACAGGTAATTATTAAGACAGGTAGTTAGTAACTAGTAAGATAGCTGATAAGACAGGTAATTATTAAGACAGGTAGTTAGTAACTAGTAAGATAGCTGATAAGACAGATAATTATTGAGACAGGTAGTTAGTAACTAGTAAGACAGCTGATAAGACTGGTAGTTATTAAGACAGGTAGTTAGTAAAGTGGCCTATGGCCATTGAATCATTAAGACATTGCTAGTGAGGTAGCTGGTAAGATAGGTGGTAGGTGAGTTGTATGATCAGTGACACAAATGTACATGTCAGTTCTGTTATTACTTACCCATTGACCATGGCTCCATGTTCTGTTGGCCATAGTTCACTTGTGCCTTGAATCCTTCAAACCCAGCACAAACATAAGTCTGACCATCCACAAGGTCCTCCAGGTCCTTGACACGTCGGCCACCAGAAGGGGTAAAGATCTGACGCACGCCATATGGTAAACCAACAGAGGAAGGTAATTTTCCAGTGAGGTCATTTAAAAGGTCACTGAAGTTAAAGTAACGATGAGGCGTAATGTACATCTTCTTTCCCTTGAAGAAACGGTCCCCGTTGACATAGAAACGTACCTTACGTGCCCGACGAAGTTCTCTCATCTTATCATCTGTGATATCCTTGTGGGTCTGCGAAATGGCAGGTTGGGCCACGTTAAAGTTATAAACACGTCTTGACATACTAGTGGTCATTTGTACAGAGTAGATGGAGCCAAATTCTGAGAAATTGTTATAACACAGCAGCAGTTGTCAATAGTTCCTTGGAGTAGAGATCTTGATTAATCTCTACATGGCCCCTGTACAAGGTGATTTCCTGGTAAAAGAAACAATAATTTATCTTAAACTTCTGAATACATTTGTAAACATTGCTCACATAATTGTATACATGCTTAATCTGCAATAGCAATAATACATTGTAATACACCCATACTAGAGGGGGTGGGGTGGGGTGTTGGGGTGTTGTATATCTGAGGGAGAGGAGGTGGGTGGGGGGTAGGGTGGGGGGTGGAGTGTTGTATATCTGAGGGGGGGGGGTTGTATATCTTATATCCTGCTTTTAGTTCACACTTATTTGTATTTTCACTAAAATGGGCAAAAAAATATACTTTTTTTTTATTACAAAGGAAGCCATAGTGATTAGTACCAGGTATACATTTTTGTGTACTTTTTTCTTACTTTCTGGACTTTTCAGAGCATTCCTCATAACTGAAGTAGTACTTTGAACTTTTCAACTGTACTTTTTTTGTACTAAGTTCTGACTTAGGACATTTTGACAAATAGTGTGAAACATAGTGTACTTTCCCCTATCCCCCCCCCTCCCAATATATCTCATTTGGACTACTTTTATCTTTCCCACAAAGTATCAGAGAAATAAATGTTTCAATCTCTGGATGTACTGATGTGCAGTTTCCTACACATTGTCTAGCAATATAAGAATAGCTGTAAATCAGGTGTTAAAGACAATGTATTGCCATGTTATGATGTAGAGACGGAGAAAAAACTTGTTTGAATTGGTATCTCATACGTAAAGGCACTTGACAGACTGTGCAAAGATGTTCAGTTCACAGGCATTACAGTAAAGGATCAATAAGTCAGAACAGACTACCTGCCCATATCAATTAATTAATGACATAGAATTAAGTGATTCCACACTTTAGTGTGATCTTTGGCACAGAAATCTCGAGAAACATGACTATACCTAACTGCTGACTTGAGCAAGTCTTCATTGTTTACATGTTTTTCTCAGCTATCATGACACATCTTGAATCAAAGCCATTTACAGTGTTTTGAGAACATGTTTCATTTAGCAAAATGGGTTTGTTAAATTGACCAAAATATATTAGCTTGCAAATTTCTAGCTACATGAGCATGTGAAACACATTGTAACCTAACTGAAGGTGTATGTGTAAAACACCATTGATTCCATAACATCACAATGCACTCTTGGAAATATTGATTTTATCGACCAATGAAATTTATTGTGCATTTTGAATTAAGATTGATCACTGAAACAAAGAAATCAGACTATAAAACAAAGCATACAGCATAATGTCTCTTTTATAATTATATTTGTGAATATCAAGCAAATAAAAAGAGGGATTACATTATGTTGTATACTGTTGCAGTTCCATTATAAAGTTACTGTATACAAAGACTGAAGGGATTACATTATGTTGTATACTGTTGCAGTTCCATTATAAAGTTACTGTATACAAAGACTGAAGGGATTACATTATGTTGTATACTGTTGCAGTTCCATTATAAAGTTACTGTATACAAAGGTATATGCATAGTCACAACAATCAATTTCAAATTAACATAATTCTGCAAGTTATACTTCTTTAAATGCATGGAAACAATGGGGGTTGTAACTCACCAAAAGCAATGGATACAGCTGGGACCTCAGCAATAAGTATGGAAACTTTCAGGTAAGGGACTTAAACATGTTCATGCAAGGGAGGTAACTCTTATCTCATTCCCTCAGCCATTTGATTTCAATAAAAATTTCAAGAGGTGATTAACTAATTTTCCCTTAATGTACTGGATCTGGTTTTCAAACTGTACAAAGATAAAGGCAACTCATATAGAAAGGGAGGTAACTTTAAACATTCAGTTCAGTCACAGATTTTATTCCAAAACAATAGTTTTTGAAGAGCTCTGCTGTCACGCCTGCGACATCTGAAAGCTACTCTATTATTTGATTCTAAAAGCAGTACCTACAGTTAAAATTCAGAGTGACATACAGAATACTGAATGCAGATTTCTTATATGCTATTAACGGATCAATTACACTCACACATTCGATCCAGTCACGTACAGATGTAAAGTTCAAGACGTCTAACATTAAAAGTGTACTCCAGTGCAACGAATGTCTGGGGTGTTTGTTAAAGTGTCTGTGTTGTAAAATGTCAAATAAGAGGCTACATAATGCATTATAAGTAGAGTATCACTTAACAAACAACCTAATACATGTCATACACACCTCATGGTTATGTCCCATGTGCCAGCATTTTTAGCCCATGTTTATTGAGTAACTTTATTATTCTGGTGTAAAATGTAGGTCATTATAGGACACACACAAGACTATATAACATTTATCATACATAATTAAGTCACCAGTATTTTTGGTAACAATCCTTAAATCCATCGATGTCTGAAACTTGAGCAATCTTAATTCATTCCCCAATATAATCAATAGCTCTCCAGTAATGATTCAATATGTCAGGGTAGCCCCCTGGTCATATTGCAGAAGTTAGAAAATATAAAAAGAATTTTGCGGAGGTAAAACTTCTATATAGTAATTCTACCTACATTGTAAAAAACATTACAGAAACTTGATATAGAATACTAATTAAGTTTTAATATGTGTACTAGAGAACACTGTGAGAGTGTGATGAAGGCTAGTCTATAGACTGTATATGTGTACTAGAGAACATTGTGAGAGTGTGATGCAGGCTATTCTATAGACTGTATATGTGTACTAGAGAACATTGTGAGAGTGTGATGAAGGCTAGTCTATAGACTGTATATGTGTGATGTACTGTATAGAGAACATTGTGAGAGTGTGATGAAGGCTTCTATAGAACTGTATATGTGTACTAGAGAACATTGTGAGAGTGTGATGAAGGCTGTATATGTGTTAGAGAACTATAGACTGTATATGTGTACTAGAGAACATTGTGAGAGTGTGATGAAGGCTTCTATAGACTGTATATGTGTACTAGAGAACATTGTGAGAGTGTGATGAAGGCTATTCTATAGTGTATATGTGTACTAGAGAACACAGTGTGTGAGGCTATTCTATAGTGTGTGTACTAGAGAACATTGTGAGAGTGTGATGAAGGCTATTCTATAGACTGTATATGTGTACTAGAGAACATTGTGAGAGTGTGATGAAGGCTTCTATAGACTGTATATGTGTACTAGAGAACATTGTGATAGTGTGTGTACTAGAGAACATTGTGATAGTGTGTGTACTAGAGAACATTGTGAGAGTGTGATGAAGGCTTCTATAGACTGTATATATGTACTAGAGAACATTGTGAGAGTGTGATGAAGGCTATTCTATAGACTGTATATGTGTACTAGAGAACATTGTGAGAGTGTGATGAAGGCTATTCTATAGACTGTATATGTGTACTAGAGAACATTGTGAGAGTGTGATGCAGGCTATTCTATAGACTGTATATATGTACTAGAGAACATTGTGTCTATAGACTGTATATGTGTACTAGAGAACATTGTGAGAGCGTGATGCAGGCTTCTATAGACTGTATATGTGTACTAGAGAACATTGTGAGAGTGTGATGAAGGCTATTCTATAGACTGTATATGTGTACTAGAGAACATTGTGAGAGTGTGATGAAGGCTATTCTATAGACTGTATATGTGTACTAGAGAACATTGTGAGAGTGTGATGAAGGCTTCTATAGACTGTATATGTGTACTAGAGAACATTGTGAGAGTGTGATGAAGGCTTCTATAGACTGTATATGTGTACTAGAGAACATTGTGAGAGTGTGATGAAGGCTATTCTATAGACTGTATATGTGTACTAGAGAACATTGTGAGAGTGTGATGAAGGCTATTCTATAGACTGTATATGTGTACTAGAGAACATTGTGATAGTGTGTGTACTAGAGAACATTGTGAGAGTGTGTGTACTAGAGAACATTGTGATAGTGTGTGTACTAGAGAACATTGTGATAGTGTGTGTACTAGAGAACATTGTGAGAGTGTGATGAAGGCTATTCTATAGACTGTATATGTGTACTAGAGAACATTGTGATAGTGTGATGAAGGCTTCTATAGACTGTATATGTGTACTAGAGAACATTGTGATAGTGTGTGTACTAGAGAACATTGTGAGAGTGTGATGAAGGCTATTCTATAGACTGTATATGTGTACTAGAGAACATTGTGAGAGTGTGATGAAGGCTATTCTATAGACTGTATATGTGTACTAGAGAACATTGTGATAGTGTGTGTACTAGAGAACATTGTGAGAGTGTGATGAAGGCTATTCTATAGACTGTATATATGTACTAGAGAACATTGTGATAGTGTGTGTACTAGAGAACATTGTGAGAGTGTGATGCAGGCTATTCTATAGACTGTATATGTGTACTAGAGAACATTGTGAGAGTGTGATGAAGGCTATTCTATAGACTGTATATGTGTACTAGAGAACACTGTGAGAGTGTGATGAAGGCTATTCTATAGACTGTATATGTGTACTAGAGAACATTGTGAGAGTGTGATGAAGGCTATTCTATAGACTGTATATGTGTACTAGAGAACATTGTGAGAGTGTGATGAAGGCTATTCTATAGACTGTATATGTGTACTAGAGAACATTGTGCTATTCTATAGTGTATATGTGTACTAGAGAACATTGTGAGAGTGTGATGAAGGCTATTCTATAGACTGTATATGTGTACTGAGAGTGTGAGAACATTGTGAGAACAGGCTGTCTATAGACTGTATATGTGTACTAGAGAACATTGTGATGATGTGATGAAGGCTATTCTATAGACTGTATATGTGTACTAGAGAACATTGTGAGAGTGTGATGAAGGCTATTCTATAGACTGTATATATGTACTAGAGAACATTGTGATAGTGTGTGTACTAGAGAACATTGTGAGAGTGTGATGAAGGCTATTCTATAGACTGTATATGTGTACTAGAGA